AAGAATAATTTGACTTCCAGTTGATCATCTGGAAAGGTAGCAGAAGGTTGATTTTTCATGTGATCATCTGCTGAACTGCCTCCCAATCTTCACAAATATTGCAGAAGACCTATTGGAAGCCACATGGACCCAAGATTCTCAAAGAAATCTGTCAAGTTTGGTGAAGGAAAAATCATGGTTTGGGGTTACATTTAGTATCGGGGCATGCAAGAGATCTGCTGAGTTGATGGCAACATCAACATTGGGGCAAACAAAGAAGGTCAAGATGCTCCAGGATTGGCCTTCCCAGTCACCAGACATGAATAATATGAAGCATATCTGGGGTAAGATAAAGGAGGAGGCATTGAAGATGAATCCAAAGAATCTTGATGAACTCTGGGAGTCCTGCAAGATCGCTTTCTATGCCGTTCTAGATGACTTTATTTATAAATTATTGGAGTCATTGCGATGTATGGATGCAGTCCTCCAAGCTCATGGGAGTCAGACACAATACTAGCTATTTTTCCACCGCTCCATGACTTCTATTATAGAAGATTTTCTTATGATTAAACTTATGTGAGTGGTTACACTTTACGGATTAATTAAAAAGAAAGGAACCAAAAACAGAGGCTACTAAACTTTAGCTACTTCCTCAAGTTTCATTTTTACTAATGTACACTGATTTTAATAAACACAAACCAAGAAATTACATTTTACAGCACAGCACATTAATAAAAAATAAAGCAAATTGAAAATACAAAGCTGTTTGGGATATTGATCAACACAAGTCAAGAGCACATTATTGGATTTTTGTCTTGTAGATCTAAAACCTATAATAAATTCCCACATTACCAAAAAATGGCCAACATATTTAAACATTTTGGACAAATTAGATATTCCCAGTGCATATTTTATCAATGGGAACAGATTTTTTCATATTTGTCTAACTGAATGGGCAATTCAGGACCCACATGTTTAAAAAAAAAAAAAAAAAAACATTAAATCACATAATCTAGTCTTGATTTTGTAGGCATATGTGTTATTCAAAAACTAGGTGGGTTCAATCAGGATTTTATTTAGTCTTTGAGCCATGCATTTTTCTACATAATATTTGATTTATGAAGCATTCCTGCCCTAAGACTAGCAAGTCTAACCTGTGTTTTGAAGCACTTATTTGTAGACCCATCTTACTTGATACTTGTAATGCTGCCATTGAACAAAAGATGGCGATGTTGGCATGCTTTTTCCTTTTGAGTTGATTGTCTTTGAGCTAGTTAACACGTTTTTTTGTTAAATGTAACGTACTTTAATCTACTTTAATCGTTGTTTTTAGTAACAATTAATATAGCCTTGCCTGTTGTTCAATTTCCTTATTCATTTTTAGAGTTTCAAATTTGTGGTTAAAATAAGAGTAAAGCAAAAGGAGGAATGAACTTGAAACTGCAGGCCTCACATTATCACCACAAGTGTTTTTTTTTTTTTATCACACCACTTTTTAAAATGATAAATCAATGTTTACTTATCACTTTTCATTGGCGGTGGGTCAACAGAAGTGTTATACAATTCTCTTGCAAAAAAAATTTGTAAGTGCAATTATATTTTAGCCTATATTTTGCTAAATATTTGTTGATTGTTCAGATTGAGATGTATTTGTTTCATGTTAGTTAAAGGGATTCACTTAAGAATGATAATTTACTGACTAATTGACTACTCACCCTCAGGTGGTTTCAAATATTTATTAGTTTAATTCTTCCTCTTTACAAAAAAGGAAGATACTTTTGAAGAATGCTGAATCATCTAACCAGTGACTTTAATAGTTTAAATTGCAAATATGGAAGTCAGTGGTTACAGATTTTCAGCTTTCTCCTAAATAGCTTATTATTTTGTGTTTAACAGAAGAAACTCTTCTTTTTTAGGGGTGAACTATCCCTTTAATGTGAAGTGTAGTCTAAAATATTAGATAAAAGATTTTTAAAAATGCTACATATTTCTACAATTAAACTCTTATTTCAATTTTTATTTTCAATTCCAAATTTCAATATATTAAAATACCAATATTAGCTGTTATTCAGATTTTGCATTAAAGTGTCAGGAAAAGTGCATTTCTATGCTCCCATTTTCATTTACAAACCTCAGTATATTAAAATACTGATATTTTATGTTGTTTATTTTGCATAAAAAGTATCAGTAAAAGTGCATTTCTAAATTTCCCTTTTCATCTACAAACCTCAATATATTAATATTTATTTGTTGTTGTTCAGATTCTGCATTAAAGTGTCAGGAAACGTGCATTTCCCATATTCCCATTTTCTTTTTCAAACCTCAATACATTAAAATACCAATATTTGATGTTGTTTATTTTGCATAAAAAGTGTCAGTAAAAGAACATTTACATATACAAATATTAAAATACTAATAGTTGCTGTTGTTCAGCATTGAAATGTCAGGAAAGGTGCATTTCTATTGCACTTTCATTTACAAACCTCTATTTTTTTAAATACCGACATTTGCTTTTGTTTATTTTGCATTTAAAGTGGTGGTCCACTGTGATATCATATTTTAAACTTCAGTTGATGTGTAATGTAGCTGTGGAAACATAAACAACATCTCTGAATGTAAAATGCTCTAAGTTCAGTGCAAATGGAGACCTTGGTTTTTACAGAGTTAGCTTAGCAAAGCCTACAATGAACGAATTTTGGGGACTACAAAAAATACTTCTGCCCCCTGTGAGATAACAAAGGTTTGTTTATTGTGCACACAAACTGCACAGCTTAGGGCCGTGGCTAGAGGCGCTGTGATGTTATAGCAGAGATGAAGCTAAAAATGTGTCTAAATGCTGCTGTTTCCACAGAGCTTCGTCTGTTTCTATATTTGGGCTTCCAAATGGCACGAAACAAAAACATAAGTGCTTACAGTTCAATATTAATTATGTTCCAGAGAATTATAAAATACAAAGCAAGCATGATTTGACAAAACAGCTCCAGAATCTCTCCCAGTTCAGTGCTGGATTCGGCTAAAATCTCAACTCAGAAGCTGTGAACCTCAACCTGTTAGTGTTTTTATTAGTTAAAATGGATCATGACATGTACAGTGTCTAGCGTTAACGGTATGCTGTAGCAACGATGTAAACAATGGGAAATGCTGATTTGCACTGCAAACGATTGAGCTACAAATCCATATTTATCAGTCAAACTGCTGTAAACACACACACACTCCACCAGCACGTTCATGTCTCTTATGTGTGTGCGCGACTTTGCATTGATTGTCTTTAGGCAGCTTTTCCATGCGTTTCACATCTCAGATAATGAAGTCGCAAAAGCTATGTGGATGATTCATATTACTTACACCTGCATATTCCGGATACATGTGAAAGGCGTCGTGTAACACGTAGTTTAAAAAATACAGGATAGCTCACCTAACTCGTGGTAGCAGCAGAAAAATAAATTAAGGCTCACACAGGTCGCATCCCACATCTTGTGCTTTATTCTTCTGTCATATATTACAGAAAATAACTTAATCCGAGCATCAGAGAAAAAGAAAAAAAAAAACCTGTGCACATGCGCTTGTTAAAGTTCACACACACACACACACACACACAATGGCAAACGCTTTTAAAGGAGCCGCACCCCATTTTCACTCCTTACAGACACTTGGACGTGGAGCCGATCCGCAAATCGCAGATGACCAATCAGAGTCACTTAAGAGCGGGCCTATCAGAGAAAGTAGGAAATATATCAGTCATTTTCATGTTAGCTAAGTAGCCGTGTATAATCAAAGTGAGATATGAAAAAGTAACGTGATTTCCTTCAAGTGAAACATGAGCACACATTGCTTTGCATCTAATAAACACTACCAAGCCTTAAAATTACATTCAGGACCACCCCTTTAAGTCTCAGTAAAAGTGCATTTCTAAATTGCCATTTTAATTACCAAACTTCAATATATTAAAATACAGAGTGTTGTTCAGATTTTGCATTAAAATGTCAGGAAAAGTGCATTTCTATATTCTGTTTCATTTACAAACCTCAATGTATTAAAATACTAATGTTTACTCTTGTTTAGTTTTTGCATTAAACTGTCAGGAAAAGTGCATTTCCAAATTCCCATTTTCAAATACAAGCTTATATATGTTAAAACACCAATATTTGTTGTTGTTTATTTTGCATAAAAAGTGTTAATAAATGTGCATTTCTAAATTCCACTTTTCATTTACAAACCTCAGAATATTAAAATGCTGATGATTGTCTATATGTTTATTTTGCATTAAACTTTTAGGAGAAGTGCAATTTTAAATTACACGTTTGATTTACAATTTTCAATACATTAAAATATTGATATTTTGTTCAGATTTTGCATTGAAGTCTCAGGAAAAAAGTTAATTTCTAAATTCCCATTGTCATTCACAAACCATATTATAATACCAATATTTGCTGTTGTTCAGATTTTGCATTAAAGTGTCAGTAAATGTGCATTTCTAAATTCACAATTAATTTTATAAATATTAAAATACTAATATTTGCTGTTGTTCAGCATTAAACTCAGTAAAGGTGCATTTCTAAATTGACATTTTTTTTTAAACCTTTATATATTAAAATACCGATATTTGCTGTTGTTCATATCTTGCATAAAACTGTCAGTGAAAGTGCATTTCTAAACTCCTATTTTCATTTCCAAACCTCAGTATGTTAAAATACCCATATTTGCTGTTTAAAGTGTCAGAAAAAGTGAATTTCTAAATTCCCATTTTATTTTCCAAACCTCAATATATTAAAATAAATGTGCTGTTGTTTAGATTTTGCATTAAAGTGTCAGTAAAAGTGAATTTCTAAATTCCCCTTTTCATTTACAAACCTCAACATATTAAAATGCACGTGCTGTTGTTAATATTTTGCATTAAAGTGTCATGAAAAGTGAATTTTGTAGCTGTATATCCGTGATGGGCAGAACATGAACAGTGGGGCGGAGTCACGAGCTGTCTATTGTGACTGATGCTTTGTGACGCGTCAAATTGAGCGCACGAGCCAGTCTGCTGGACGGACGTACTTTCTCAAGTGGATCAAAGATTACTGAGGAAAAAAACCCGGCTTAGTCCTAAACTCAGACACATAAGTCATAAAAAAGCAGAAGAGGGCAGTCTTTAGCGGGAGACACGGGGAAACCTCTCAAATGCTGCACGGGACCACAGCAGCACAGTTAAAGGTTACGGGAGCACCACCGCTGTATAGGGAAATATCACAATGCAAATGGGTAAGTTCCTTTTCATCTGTTTTAACATGGTTAGAATTGCGCCTTAATATAATAATGAGTAAGAAACTAATAACTTGGATGCATCTATGATTTTGTTTATTTGTGTATAGGCTATTATGTTGATTAGAGCAGTATATGGCACGTAAACATTGTAGATTTCGATAGATTCTAGGCTACATCAGACCTAAACAGGGAAAAAAAATCAAAGTGGCTAAAAAAATAGAATTAATAAGGGGTGTTGTACAAAAATAATGCTATTTCTCCTCTAAAATGACACGTTTAATTCTATGCGTTAAGGTTATTTGCAGTTTTCTGCAAATGATAGCATTAGCATAGTCTGTACAGTTTAGTTGAGCTCTGATATTTCAGTCATTTTAATATGAGGATATAAGTTTTATTCGGCCTGTACTTTTATTCAGCCTAGATGTTGTACTTTCTACTAATAATAGGTAGCCTGAAACAGTTCATAATACAAAACTTCCTTTAAATAAATTCGCTATAAGACAAATTGCTGTTTTTGATTCACTAGTATCAAACGCGTTGAATAATATTGCATAACCGCAAAACTCTTCGATAATGCAATGCTTTTTTATTATTTTAAAAGTTCATATAGCAAAAAAAAATGTTCTTCAAGCTAAAAAAAAATCATTTTAGTTTGTCTTTAACATTTAAAGAAAAATTCTGTTTGATAATTTTGCGAAACATTCTGAAAAGTTTAGGTTGGGATTATGTGAATAGTAAACTTTTAGAGCTGCATTTGAGAGAAATTATATCCTGGAAGAAAAAAAAAACTTTTCGTTTTGAGAACATTGTTAAAGACCGGACGAAACTTATTTATTTAAGATTAATGAAAATAGATAGTTTTCTAAAGCAATTAACACGAAAGTGCAATTGAAGTTCGAGTATCATTTAAAATAGGGTCAAGTGTTATTTTAAGGTATTTTAATACACTGTTAACTTACTAAACTATGAATTTGCTGCTTATTAGTAGAGGTGGTTCTGTTTGGCTTGGATTAAGCTGTCTGAAATATTCTTCTGAAATTAGCATTTTTGTCAGCAGTCCAGTCCTGTTTATGTTCAGTTGCTTTACTTTGAAAGGCAACGAAAATAACCTATTTTTTTACCATAAAACTGAAAATCATGAACACACACAGAAACCTGAGGAAATGCTAATTGTATAAGGAAAGATTTTCAGGCGGCACATTTTTTTTTTTTTTTTTTTGAATTGTTCATAAAGCATTATAGGCAGGCAATAACCTAGTATTAGTAACGGGAATGGGCAGGCCAACTATTAAAAAATAAAGGGACAAAATTTTTCACTGTGGTGGTACCCTTTTAAAAGGTGCATTTTTGTTATTTTAGGCTCCTATTATGTAAATGTATGGTAGGCTATATATGGAAACTTTAGACAATGATAAGGTCCTTTACGATACCAATATGATTTATTTGGTGCTAATTTGTACCCTTTGTATGCAGAAGTACACTGGAAAAAATGCATTTGATTTACTGATTGTTTTAAGGTAAGTGGTGCAAACAATTTATATGGGCTGAATTTAAACAAATTAAATTTACTAATGTTCATCTGAACTTCTCTGTTTAAATTCGGCCCATATAAATTGATTGCAACCACTTAACTTAAAAAAAATTGTTGATCCAATTAATAGCCTAGTTTTTTCAGTGATAGCCTACCTTTATAACGGGCGCGGCTTCAGTGACAGATTTTATACCAGTTTTTCTGACAATGCAAAAAGTGTTGCTCAAAATGATAATCATTACACATTAATAGCTAATGATAAATCTGCGTTGAGCAGAACTATTTTAAAACGCAGTGTTTCCTTCTTGCAGATCAGACGTACGGGGAGGTGAATCAGCTCGGCGGTGTGTTTGTCAATGGTCGGCCGCTTCCCAATGCCATCCGGATCCGGATTGTGGAGCTGGCGCAGCTGGGAATCAGACCCTGCGACATCAGTCGACAACTCAGGGTCTCTCATGGATGTGTGAGCAAAATCCTGGCCAGATACAACGAGACCGGCTCCATTTTGCCCGGCGCAATCGGTGGGAGTAAACCTCGGGTCACAACGCCAAACGTGGTGAAAAGCATAAGGGATTATAAACAGGGCGACCCTGGGATATTTGCTTGGGAAATACGCGACAGACTGCTAGCCGACGGAGTGTGTGATAAATATAATGTTCCGTCTGTGAGCTCCATTAGTCGCATTTTAAGAAACAAGATTGGGAACCTGTCTCAGCCGAGTCAGTATGACAGCAAAACCTCCCCGCCGCAGATCTCCTACAATCCCGTGTATCCGTACTCATACCCGAACACCATGTCACCCACCGGCTCCAAACTTGGCAGTCCTCCGGCTGTGTCTGTCAGCTTGTCCCGAGCCTGGCCCTCAGTCCACACCGTTAGCAATATATTAGGAATACGGGCTTTCATGGATCCTGCAGGTAATTCAACTACTATATTAAAGATAGCCCTTCAGGATTTGCGCATTCCAAGTCAAAGTTTGACGGCCTATACAGTTTTACGCATGCGTCATGTCGGAATGTTTAAAAGGTTTAAAGAAAACGAATGCATGTGGGATTTATTGGGAATCTGTTTGTTTGGATTATAATTGCATGCTTGTGCACGTTATGTTACGTTTGCTGTTTGTAAAAGTCGTAATTAGTAAAATTAAAAAAAACTGCTCTGAAGAACGCATCCATCATATAAAGGATATTTATAATGCATGAGTTCTCTAGAGCGGTGTTTTATTCATATTAAATACGATTTAGCTGCTAGAAAAAAAAGAGACTTTTTGAGGCTCACGACAGAGGCTATAAAATGCCGGGCTGTTGTTTTCTTTTCTCCAACCGTGAAGAAAAGTAATTTATATTTAATTGAAAAAAAGAACCCAATGTTGAGGTTTTCTATATTTGACAAAACATTGTTACCACAACGCAGGATTTAGCTAAATGCTTTGCTTAGCCTATATCCTGGTTGGGTATTTATTGGGCTTCGTTTTAAATGGTGTTTGCATTTTCCGAGAAGCAGATAATTTCCAGACTAGGTCAATCAGATATCTCTCTATTTTTGTGCCTAGATCTGGTGCATCATGACATAATATAAACCTATGTTTTATAATTATAATGTTTGTTGTTGACAACGTGCAGCTTCTGCAACTATTCAAATTGGTTTGCTTTAATTATTTTAACAGCAATTGCTGGATCAGAGAGTTATCAGCCCAAAATGGAGGACTGGACGGGCGTCAACAGACCTTCGTTTCCTTCCGTTCACGGAGTCAACGGCATCGATAAGCCCCCTTTAGAAAGTGACATTAAGTACACCCAGGTGAATTTATTGGTTTATTTATTTAAGCGTAGGATATGCGTAATTTTTGATGCATGATTATATGTATAATTTTTTTTTTGATGCATGATTATATGTATAATTTTCAATTTCGTGCGCAATTATATTTGCATGTTCCAAAAGCGAGCTGTTATAATATATATATTTTTTACTTTTTAGATTGTCTTTTGTCTTGTAAAGATCGTTTTAATATTTAAACACACTTTTCGGCAATAAGAAACATTCTGTAAAATGGAAACGCTCCAGAGTTTTTTTTCTTTCATGATAATATCCATACCATGAACCTTTATCTTTCAGAAAGGATAGATCTGTGCAAAGAAATTAATTGCATCTGATTAAAAGTGTTCAGTCAATTTGAGTTGAAATGTTTCATCCATCACTCAAAAAATGACATTGCTGTTTGTTCAAGCTTATTTAAAAGAAGCTAAAACAACAACATTCTTGAGTTTTTTTATGAACAACTTGATTGTTTTGGCTTCAATCCACTTACTTTTGAACAAACTAGTTAACTTAATTATTTCATGTTTTCCCAACACAAATCATTTGTGTTGGAAACCCAGTATTATTTATTTATTTATTTTATTTTTTGCAGTGTTTTCTTACTCAGTATTTATTTATTGCATTTATTGAATCAATTACTAATATTTAGATGGGTTAATTTATTGATTGCATTTTATTATTATATAACCTTTTATATTGTATTTGTCATTCTTCTTGTGTTACTAATAAGTTATGTATTTAATTTAATTTCTAGGCTTCATCAAATTTATCGGGATATGTTCCTGCGTGCGCGTACTCCGCCACTAATCAGTACGGTGTTTACGGTGGACATGGTAATTACGGGCACTGGCAGTCTCAGAGCGCAGGTCTCAGTCATCCGAACACCGGCACGATGATCCAGAGCCCAAACCTGCACAGCGCATTATCCTTCAAAAATACTAGCCGAGAAGGTAAGCCACTTGTGCACACGACACTATAACAATAAAGTAAGCAATATTCGACCAGAATACAAAATTATTTTAACTGAAATGTTAAACTTTGCAGACTGTAGCTACGCATATTTATGAAGATTTATAATATAAAATATGAATAAATATTTTAAATCAAATAATTATTTTTTAAAAATAAAAGTCCTGCATGGTGCAACAAATTCCTTGTGCAAACAACCACATTTGTTTTTATTTATATTGTTTTTTAAGCTTTATGCCATATAGAAATACTATACTAATAATGTATAGTGCTTTTTTAAACCATACTAATGCAAATTATTAAAATTAATCTGTTGTGGTAATTTTATAGTTGCCATTATAGCACAAAAAATATAGTTATAATAACAAATGACCCAATACTGTAGCTTTCTACAACTACAGGCTGTATTATACTTCAAAAGACCACAATTTACTGTAGTAAAAACTAAAGGATACTACTGTACTTATTACAGCTTATCAGTATACTGTTGTTGATATTGCAGAATGCTGCAGTAGTTTTGTAAATATCACTACACTGTAAAAAAAATCCTGGTTGCCTTAAACTTTTAAGATGAATCTATTTAACCTTATGAGTCCATTGGATTTATAATATTTTAAACGGACTTAAAACAGCTTGCAAAACTTGAGTAACTTATATTAATAAGTTATAATGACCCAAAACATATGTATTTAGGACTAATTGAATATATCAGCTTTTACAGTGTGCTAATACTACTAATTTTCAAAATGACTATAGTATTTACTGCAAATTAATATAATATTTTGTAATGTGGACATATATTGCATGCATTTAGACAGATTATTTTGAATATTGAGTCTATGTGTATTGTATTATTTGTGTCCTGGTGTTTTTACATAACTTAAGAGCATGCAATTTTGGGGAATTATAGTCTGAGATATGTTTTTATGTCACATTGTGCGCTAGAAAATACACTCTAAAAAATGTTGGGTCATTTCAACCCAATTCTGGGTGTAATGGGGACTAACACAACTCCTGGGTTATTTCTTTTTTAATTAAATGAATAGACCAAATTTAATCCAATGGGTTTTGGTTAGCCCATATTTTACAAAATTTGGGTTTAAATAACTCAGCATTTCTAAGAGAGTACAGTTTAAATATTTCTGCTGCATTTTTTCATGTTTCTCTTTGTGAAGCTTCTGGAAATGGTTTCCTACCATTTTTTTTTCTTACCAACACCACACCTGCCAGATTATACCTACAATTGAATTAAAAAACAAAACAAAATCACACTGACATTGTAAAGGAAGGATATAGCTTTTAGAAAGAGCTGAAAGGCTTGTTTGCATCTTGTTTGCTCCATAAACACTTGCTCTCTTTTGGCTCCAGCTGTAGAGAGAAAGAGTCCACTGAGCAAACACCAGCACGAGGGTCTGAGCGCTGTTCATGGACTCTCAGACTCATAAGAACACAAAGACCACCGAACAGAAAAGCAAAGCACCACTTTCATCATGCAGTTCATCCTTCATGTGCAGCTTCATGGGCTCGTTCATCAGTAAGTTCTGGATAAAACACACCTGAATGTTTCACACCGTTACGGACAAGTGGGATCTGAAGCTGTGGAGATACTGTACCACAGAAGATTTCTGCAATATTTGCAGTAGATTTGTTTGTTGTTGTTGTTTTTTATGGTGCAAATCAGTTATAGTGTCAGGCTGTTGTTATAAATGGACTGCAATGGGGTTGAATATTCTCTTGTTAGTAAATCAGCCTTGTTAAAGTGGTTAGGGAAATGAGTTGCATTTGTATGTGTCTGTATGATATTGAATGGCCTTTGAGTTGGTAATATGTGCATATCTATTTTTATAAATTTATTTCTGCTTAATAAAGGCATGGCAAAAGTGAACTGAACTCGTTTTGCGTTTCATCAGTTCTGTATGGCTGAGTTCTGCTCAACAGTCACAGTCAAGATAACATGTTTACAGAGAGATTATGTGGGATTTTGCTGTCGATGTTTGTTCACATGACTGAAGATCTGCTCGGACAACCATATAAATAAACAGATGATCCCATCAAATTGTTGCCATAAGTTAGTTTAGATGACCTTATGTGACAAAAAACACACTCAAATATGAGTACCTTTGCTGCTTGTTTGAGCTACTTACTTAAAATAAGCCGAAACAACACAATTCTTTGCTCTTTTTAGAGGATAGCCTAATTGTTTCATGTTGAATCTACTTAAATTTCTAAAACAAATTAAGTTAACTTAATCGATTTATGTTGGGACAACATAAAGATTTTATGTGGAACCCAGCATTTTTACACTGAATTCAAAACAATCGATTCGAGTTGGAGCCACATGAAATAATTAAGGTAACTTATTATAAATTTAAGTAGATTGAACATAAAACATTTAAGTTCACATTTTGAAAAAGCCAAAAATTATGTTGTTTCGGCTCATTTTAAATAAGTAGCTTGAATAAACAGCAAACATAATTTTTGAGAGCATAATACATTCATTACATTACCTTAAATAAAGTTTATTGCGAGTAACCAGTGCGATATAAGAGGAGATCGTGTCTTTGAGAAATAGCTACACAAATAAAATTAGTAAGGACTTTTAAATAATTTAGAACATTTGAAACAATTAATCAATAAAAATGCAATAAATTAAATGCACTATACACTGATACATATATTCAGTGTATATGTGTATTCAGTGAATATGAAACACAAGTTTGTTACTAAGTTAATCGAGTTTCACCTACTTTTTTTGTTATGCAAAGCTTAACTCAAAATTTAAATTAAGTTTGAATGATGTAAGGTATACAATATATGTTATAACTTGTGTGTGTGTGTGTGTGTGTGTGTGTGTGTGTGTGTGTGTGTGTGTGTGTGTATATATATATATATATATATATATATATATATATATGTATAATCTTTGATTTAAGTTAAAAAGCAAGAATTAATGACAGTGTAGGCCTACAACAATAACGCCATGGGTACACAGTGAAATATTCGGCTTGCATTTCAGAGCAATTTTGTTTCAATGTAATTAACTATTAAAATCATATGTTATAGAGAAAAAAAAACTTTACAACTAACCAGAATCTATCTTGCTTTAAATAGAGTACATACAGTGTATATTTAGTGTATAGTGCATTTAATTTTCCATCGTGTTTTCATTAATTAGTCGTGATACGCTGTTATAACACGCTATACACGCCACTATACACTGACGATATATTCAGTGTATAATGAATATATTATGAATACAAACTACACATTTTCCCTGCTTGTTCAAACTACTTATTTAAAATGAGCTGAAACAACACAATTATTGAGGGACAACTTAATTGTTTTATGTTTAATCCACTTAAATGTGTAAAACAAATAACAGGTTAACTTAATTTCTTCATGTTGTCCCAGCAAAAAACGATTGTGTGAAACCCATAATTTTTCTAGTGTGGTTATTTCCAGAAATATTAATTGCTTGTTGAACTGTTTAAATGTAATGTTATTAATTGATATATAAAATACCCTTAAATGTTCTTGAATTTGAATTGCATTTGAATTTGTATTGTTGTATTTTAATTTTATTCATGATGAACTGCAATTACAATTTTTACATTTAATCTAATTCATCTTTATTTCTATAGCGCTTTTACAACGTAGATTGTGTCAAAGCAGCTTAAGATTGAAGTTCTAGTATAAGTTGAAAACGTGTCAGTCCAGTTTTTAGAGTTGAAGTTCAGTTCAGTGTGGTATTAATTTCACTGCTGAAAGTCCAAACACTGAAGAGCAAATCCAACAATGCGCAGCTCCACAAGTCCCAAACCAAGCAAGTCCCAAACCAAGCAATGGCGACAATGATTAACAACAATTAACTAAGATAAAACACTTTGCATTTGACATTTAAACATTATTAATAATTGGAATTGCTGTTGTTGTTATTATTGTTGTAGTTTTATTTATTTTTGTTAAATTGACAGGAATTAAATGAGGTATTCGACGTCATTATATTATTATAATCCGTATTCATTTGCAAACTGTGTCTGTCTAAAGTTAGTCACATGCACGCAAGCATGTTTTAGGACTGGAGAACTGGAGAAATAAAACCGTGCCTGGGGTTTACAAGGAAAGTCTTAAAACCTCTTCAAGTAGAACAACTATAAACCTATATATTATCCTTCACATCGTCGCACGATCACGTTGTTTATTTTAAACGCGGTGCAGGTTTGCTTTCTTGCTCGTAATGTCCGCTCTTTTTAAAGCAAGATGTAGGCTATTCTGGTTAGATGTATAGTCTTTTATGTAATGTTTGCAGTGTTTTTAATAGTTCAATGCATTAAAACAAAGTCGCTCTGAAAGGCATGCCAAATATTTCACTGTCACGACGGTGTTATTGCTGTACACTGTAAATAATTCTTTCTTTTTTTAGTTGAATCAAAGAAACTTTTATAGGTACATCAACTTATATCAGTCAAACTGAGTTAAAATATTGAGTTAAGCTTTGCATATCTAAAAAATATAGTTATAACTCGAATAATGTGAAATAACAAACTTGTTTTCATGACCTTTTCACAGTCTAGGGCTATAGATGATTGAATTTTCTATTATCACATATTAAAACCTCATAGTTTCATGTTCATGCCTGAATGGGCTACATGAATTAATAATTAAAAATCAAATAGTTGAACATTTATTAAAACAATACAATACATTGTAATAAATTGGGTTTTATGTAATTTGGCGTGTTATATTTTGTTTTTTATATGCATTCATATTTTTACTTGTTTTTTGTTAAATTTTATTATACGTTTATAGTAGTAAAGCCAATTATTTTTCACTTACCAGACCTTTTTTATCTCAGATGTTAACATTTTTAGCAGTCCTAAATGTCTACTGAATTCCGAAATTTCACTGAATTTAACACTTCCATCCTTCTTTTTGTTATTATTATTATTATTATTATTATTATTATTATTATTATTATTATTATTATTACTGTAATACCTTTTTGTTGTTATTTTGTGAAACCGATTGATACGTTGAATATTGTCCGTCAAATGAAGTTGCTGGTAAACTTGAGAAACATTTGCGTTTCTTTAAATAACAAAACAATTCTAGATGCCACTTTACATATATAATAATATGAAATTATAATATTGCAATTTTAGTTACAGCTGTATATTAAAAGCATATATATATTTAGCTTTATATTAAAAGCATGTTTCGGTTTTGTGGTTTTTGTGTTTAAATGACCGCTCACTTGGACGGATTATGATTTTCTGTCGGTGTTTTTCTTCTTAAACTTCGTGAAATAATAGTCATATTTAGTTTTCTTAATTGGTGTGAACATCTGTTTTAAAAGATTTTGACCGATCAGGTGACATTATTAGACTAACCTAAGCTCCCACACCTGTTTTAAGTTAAAAGGCAAGGTTTTATATAAAACAAAGACATGTTTTGTCATTATAAAAATGCTAATATTTCTCATGTTCACCCTACTTTATCTGACAGACAACATTCGACGTATCAATCAGGTACACAAAATAACAACAAAATTATATCTCAATAACAAAAATAATTATAACATTTGCAGTCGAAATTTCACCCAACGACCAAAATGTAAACACAAGTTAAAAAAAGTCTGATAAGTGAAATATATTTAGCTCTATATTAAAAGCATGTTTCGGTTTTGTGGTTTGCTATTTTAAACAGCCGCTTTCTGGACGGATTATGATTGGCTGTTGGTGTTTTCTCAAAGATTATATAATATAGCCATATTTATCGCTAGTTATCTTAATTAGAGTGTACGAGTCACAGCTCCATGGATTCATAATAAAATGGACATTAAGTCATTTGTCATTTGAACCAAAAAAGGTCTTTGCTTTACTTAAAAAGGTTGATAAAAGGTCCTTACTTTTACCAGGTGACATTATTAGACTAACTTTAAGCTTCCACACCTGTTTTTAGTTCAAATGCAAGGTTTTAAATAAATCACAGACATGTTTTGTCATTTAAAAAATCCAGATAATTCTCAAGTTCACCATTAACTTAATTTACAGACAACATTCGGCATATTATTCGGCTTCACAAAATAACAACAAAATTATATCTCACTACTATGCTGCTACTACTACTACTACTACTACTACTACTACTACTACTAATAATAATAATAATAATAATAAAATTAATTATATTATACTAATTATAATATAATAATAATAATAATAATAATCATCATCATCATCATCATCATCATTATTATTATTATTATTATTATTATTATTATTATTATTATTATTATTATTATTATTATTATTATAACAACGACAACAATAACTCTTTAACTGCCCCATGCACCAAAAATAAAGATTTTGGATTGCATTTGTTACAACTCATCCCATAATTTTTAAAAATATCAATCTCTACCAAATGGTTGCTATGTCGGTTTACTAGTACCGGAACTAATACTTGTACTATGAAAAATCTGAAAATATAAAGTGTATGATCAATTTATTTAAAAACATAATCAAAATAAAACATTTTTAATACTAAATCACCTTTTTTAAGTATGCCATAAATTATTTCAGATTCTCATTTACATGTTTTCTTGTTATTGTTTTTTTAATTTTACAATAAAACCTAAATCAATTGTAGTAGTGCAACATGATTATGTTTGTTTGTTTGTTTTTGTAAACTAACAATGCTGTGTAAAACATTATTTAAAATAGTCAAAATATGGTCAACCATTTGCTATAGAGCAGGCAGTTAAAAGATAATAATAACATTTGTAGGCGAAATTTCACCGATTGACCAAATAATGTAAACACGTTGAAAAAGGTCTGATAAGTGAAATATGATTGGGATTATTATTATAGATCTCTTTGAAAATTGTG